GATGCTGTCTATATCTTTCTTGAATTTCTCCACAATTTTCCTTATATATTTGTTAGTCCTCTATTGGGTTCATATATGTTTCCAATGTTTATGTCTTGTTAATGGATTCTTCCCTTGAGTACCATGAAGTGTCCTTCTGTGTCTCTTTATATAGCCTTTTTTTTTTTGAAGTCTATTTTTTCTAAATATTGCTACCCTGGTCTTTGTTGCTGTCCATTTTTAAAAATATTCTTTCCAACCCTTCACTTTCAGCCTGTGTATGTCATTTGTCCTGATGTAGGTCTCTTGTAGGCTTCATATGTGTGGGTCATGTTTTCTTATCCCTTCAGATACCCTATGTCTATTAATTGCAGCTTTAATTCATTTACATTTAAGTTTATTATTAATAAGTCCTTATTCACTCCCATTTTACTCCCTTCATACCTGTGTTCCTATCTCTCTCACTCTTTTTCTTTCTTTTCTTAAAGTAGATCCTTTAGCAATTCTTGTAGAGCTAGTTTGGAGAAGGTGTATTCTTTGAGCCTTCTTTTGTGCAGGAAACTCCTTATTTCACCTTCCATTTTATTTATTTTTTAAAAAGATTTTATTTATTTACTTTTAGAGAGTAGGGAAGGGAGGGAGAAAGAGAGGGAAAGAAACAATGTGTGGTTGCCTCTCACGTGTTCCCTACTTGGGGACCTCGCCTAGAACCCAGGCATGTTCCCTGACTGGGAATTGAACCAGGGACCCTTTAGTTTGCAGGCCCACACACAATCCACTGAGCTACACCAGCCAGGGCTCACCTTCCATTTTAAATGAGAACCTTGCTCGGTAAAGTAGTCTTGTTTACAGGTTTTGCTTTTCATTGCAATATTTCTTGTCATTCCCTTCTGGCTTGTAGTGTTTCTGTAGAGAATCAGCTGTTAGCCCTATCAGAGCTCCCTTGTATATTACTTACTGTTTCTCCTTTGCTGCCTTTAAAATTCTCTCTTTGTCTTTGAATTTTGCCATTTTAATTATGATGTGTCTTAAAGTGGGGCTCTTTTGGTTCATCCTCACTGAGACTCTCTGTGCTTCCTGGATCTGTGTGACTTTTTCCTTCATCAAATTAGTGAAGTTTTCCATTACTTTTTCAAACAGGTTTTCTATCTCTTGCTCTTCTTCTTCTCCTTCTGATATCCCTATTATATGAATATTATTATGTTTCATGTTGTCCTGCAGTTCCCTTAACCCTCTCCATTCTTATTGAATGACTTTTCCTTTTCTTGCTCTTTCTGGGAGTTTTTGTTTTCTACCTTGTCCTCCAGCTCACTGATTCGATTCTCTGCTTCATGTAGCCTGCTTTTTATTTCTTCTTCTGTGTCAATTCAGAATTTGTATTCTAAATTTCCTCCTCGGTCTTGTTGATAGTTTCTATATCCTTTTCATGTGATTGTATTTCTCAGTGAGTTCTTTGCAGCTTCCCTGAAATTTTTAGTTATTCTCACTGAGCTTTTTAAGCTTCCTTATAATGATTTTTTAAAATTCAGTGTCTGATAGATTACTTGCTTCTATTTCACTTAACACTTGTTCTGAGAGAAACAACTTCCTTTCCTTTCATTGGAGGTGTTTCTTTGTCTTCCCATTTTGGGGGAGGGGGATTTCTCTTGTTTTCTTCTGCTCTTAAATTGAGCTGTTTTGACTCCCTGTCTTCATGGTGTGAACTTCTATGATAGGAGACCCACGTGATTTAGTGTTGCAGTCTCCTTGGTCTTCTGAAGTTGATGCTATTATGATGCCCTTTCATCATTTATGTTGGCTCTCTGGAAATAATTGGGTTTTTTATTTTCATTAGGTTATTCTTTGTTGGGTCCTTCCCTCCAGCTGGTTCACTGAGGGTCACTCCACCAACCTCTCATATGGTGCTGCCAGAAGAAACCCACAAAGCCCAGGAAACAAATCCACACACACACAAATAACTCCCACCCACAATCTCACTCTCAATAGCAAACAAATCAGTATTAATAATGGTGTAAAGAGATTAAGACTATTATAAGAAAAGAAAGTGAATATGAGATAACCTACTGAAAAAAATAATTTTCAGTGGATGGAAGGAGGAGCACTAATAAGAACAGGGAATCAAAGCAATGTGAAGAGAGAATGTAAGAAGGCAGAATGCAGTAAGAAAAGGGAAAATGTATATTATTATGTTTATGCAGAAAATAAAATAAAATAAAATGATAGAGATAAAGTAAAAGAAAAAAGTAAATAATTTAAAAAAATGGTACTGAATTGGAGAGAAAGATCCACCACAGCACTATTAACAGCAAATGAGTTAAAATTAATGTAGGTTGGATGGGATTAAGAGTGAAAAAAAAAAAGAAAGAAAATCTTAAGACATATCTAGAGGAAGGGGAAGTGATTTTTAGGTGACAGAGGGAGGAGGAATACTAAGCATCAGAAATGAAAACCAGGCCAAGACAGGGGAAATGTAAAATTTGAGACCCCCCAAAAAGTAGGAGAGAAGTCTAGTAAAATTTGAGATTTGAAATACAAAATTAGTGATGATCTAGAGGTAAAACTGAAAAAATGCAACATCTACTACCCTATCAACAACCAATGAGCAATGATTGCTAAAGGTAGAGAAAGAATGTGGTTATTTTAAGAGTGGGAAAATGTGAAATGACCATTGAGAAGAAAATTGGTTTTGAGAGGCTGGATGGGGGAGAAATAGTAAGGTTGTGGAATGGAAACAAGTTGTAGCAAGAGAAAACAAAAAAAAATAAGAAGAAAGAAAGTAAAATGGGGTAAGAGAAGGGTGGGGAAATGTATGAATTGAAATAAACTATATTATAAAATGTAATGATTTAATTTGCACAAACTTGAAGGACAACAAATTAATGTTACAAAGCTATACAGGAAACCTATACAGGAAATATCACAAATCATGGAGAAGACCACAGTGCATTTTGTCTGGTAGCATTTAGTATTTGCCACTGTTTTTTCTTTCTGGATCTGTCTGTGGTGATGTCAGATGCTGACCCTATCTGAACATATGCAGCCTCTTTGAGACTACCAGGGATCTACTGTCTGTGGTTGTCTCTTTCAGTTGTTAATCTAGTCACTCTGCATTCAGCAGTCAGGCTCAATCACTACGGAGTGAGGCAGAATCTTTCCTGGTTCCTGGGCTATTGCTTCCTCTCAGGCTTCTGCCACTTGGAATGGAGTGGTTTGCCTGAGCAAGACAGCTGCTGCAGTATGAGGAATGACTCTGCACCAGGATCTGGTGGCTAATGTCTCAGTTGTCTCCCAAAAGCCTCTTTCCTCAGTCTCTCTTCAAGCATCTCATGTCCACTCTACCCTCTTCCCACTTTTAAAGGAACCCAGGGAAAAAGTCTGCAAATGTAAATGTATTATGTCTATGACTGACACATAATAAAGAGCTCTTCTCCCAACTTTCTATTGAAGGGAAATTAAGTAATTTGTCTCTTTCCTGAGAGCAAAATATTAGAATTTATCTGATTGGATGTACACTTCAGTTTAATGTGGCACAAAGTCAACAATATTTTGTAAGTTCTACTGTATCTTATTAAGGAATAAAATGTGTCAAGTGCTGGGTCAATTGACAAGTGTCTGCTCTAGTAGGATTTTTCAGGATGTAATTCTTGATCATAGATGCCATATTTAAAAACCATGGTATCTAAATCCATATTTAGATACCATGGCTAAATTCTCTCTTTTCTTTTCACCTAAAACTTTTATAGAGATACTAACTGCTAACAAGAATTTACAAATCTGCCCTGGCTGGTGTGGCTCAGTGGATTGAGTGCTGGCCTGCAAACTAAGTGGTCGCTGATTTGATTTCCAGTCAGGGCACATGCCTGGGTTGAAGGCCAAACAACACTGGCCCTTTAAACAGCTGTTCAAGTCTCCAGCCAACCATCTCTGGCAGAGCTAAACCCTGCTGCTTTTTGCGCCCGGATGTTATGTGTGTATGTTTTGTGCTTTGGTGCATAAGCTGAGGATTCCAGCTTAGGGTTTAGACCCCATACTTCTCAGGGGGATCCAACCAGCAGCTTATATATCCCTCTGGTGCTTCAGGTGCATCCTGTGGGTACCCACCAACCCTCTAGCATCTCCACCAAACTCCCTACCAGTCATGTTGTGCTGAAGCTGATTCTTCTGTCTGTCTGTAGTTATAAGGTGTCTCTCTTGCTATTGTTCAGTTGTTTGTTCCAGGTGATTTCTCCACAATTTAGTTGTAATTCTAGATTGGTCCTGGAAGGAAGTTAGTGTAACTTCCAATCACTCATCCTCCATTTGGTTCCCCAAGAGGTTGTACACTTTTTAGCATGAAATATACTCTCATGTATATTTGGTAAAAATACTTTTAAAGTACCTCCTTCCTGAAGGGCCACATGACAATGCGGATTAGGTGCTTTAGAAAGAAACTTGCCTTTTGACCTAGAAATTTGATTTCTACAATGCATTCTACATAAATAACCAGAGAAATGTGCAAAGATGACTACACAAGGATGTGTATTTCAGCATTTATTATAATGATAAACTGGAAATAACCAATAGGAAAGTGATTAGAAAAGACAAGTTTTAAAAGAAATGGTTACTTTCTATATTAGGTATTTAAATGTTGTTATGTATTGAGATTTTTATGATTTGGAACATTTACACCAAAATGTCAAAATGACAAACTTTGGATCACAGCTATCCATGACTCAAAACTTTTATTTTTATTAGTTTTATGTGAATTATCTAGATTTTCTAACTATTTTCTAAAATTGACACATATTGCTGTCTATTTGTAATATTACTTTTTAGGTAATACAGGCCAGTAACCCAACTTTGAAAGGTTAGAGAGTACTTTTAATGATAAATGCAAAATATGTTTTGGTAAAATTTCTAAATCCCTTTTGAGAACTATTTTTCAGAGACTCCTGTTTCTATCCTCATTTCAAATTCATGGGTTGTCCACATCACAAAAATTCCCTATCAAGCCCAGTGGCATAACTGTACATGCCTCTTACCAGGTAGGCTCTCCAGAATGACTGGATGCTCAGTGCTGCCTCCTCTTCTGTCAGCTGGAGGGAGAGTGGGATAGGTGGCCGGGGGCTAAAAAGCAATAAAATGGTCATATGCCAATGAGAATCCATCTTTCAGCTGAGCAAGGCCTTTGACAACATAAACATAAATGCTTTATTCATTGATAGAAAAGTGCAAACTTGGGTTAGCACTTTTTATTTTTAAATCCAAGATTTTTTTTCACCAAAATAATTTTTAATCACTGTTATCCTGCTCTTTGAAGAACTAAGGGTGGTAAAGGTGTATGTCAGTCCTGTAATTACAAAATACAGGTTATTGACATAAGTCCATGGACATAGAATAAAAGACAGAGCAAAAGGGCCCTTTCCAAGCATATTATGATTGACACATAAAAAAGGGCTCTTTTACCACTATGGAAAACAGTATGGAATTTCCTCAAAAAACTAAAAATGAAACTGCCTTTTGACCCAGCAATTCCATTGCTAGGACTATATCCTAAGAACTATATCCTAGTGTAACCCTGAAACACTAATCCAAAAGAACCTATGCACCTCAATGTTCATAGCAGCACAATTTACAATAGCCAAGTGCTAGAAGCAACCTGAGTGCCCATCAGTAAATGAATGGATCAAAAAAACTATGTCACATTTACACAATAGAATTCTATGCAGCTGGAAGAAAGAAGGAGCTCCTACACTTTGGTGACAGCAGGGATGGAACTGGAGAGCATTATGCTAAATGAAATAAGCCAGGTGGTGAGGGACAAATACCATATGATCTCACCTTTAACAAGAACCTAAGCAACAAAATGAACAAACAAGCAAAATATAACCAAAGACACTGAAATTGAGAACAAGCTGACAGTGACCAGAGGGGAGAGGGAGGGAATTATAGGGGAAAAGGGTGAAGGATTTGCAGGAACAATTATAAAGGACACGTGGACAATAACAAGGTGGGGGTGGAAACAGGAGAGAGAGGTAGGAAGGGCTGGGGTGGTGGGAAAGAATGAGGGGAAAAGGCAGAAAACTACTTGAACAACAGTAAAGAAATGTTAAAAAAATAAAATAAAGGCCTCTTTCCCTAGCTTTGTATTCAAGGGAAATTAAGTAATCTGTCTCTTTCCTGAAAGCAAAATATTGGAATTTATCTCTGATTGGATGTGCATTCCAGTTTAATGTGGCACAACATCAACAATATTTTGTAAGTTCTACTATATCTTAATAAGCAATAAAATGTATCAAGTGCTGGGTCAATTGACAAGTGTCTGCTCTAGTGGGATTTTTCAGGATGTAATTCTTGATCATAGATACCATATTTAAAAACCGTAGCTGAATTCTCTTTTCTTTTTTTTTTCTCCTAAAACTTTTATAGAGATACTAACTGCTAACAAGAACTTACAAATCTGCCCTGGCTGGTGTGGCTCAGTGGATTGAGTGCTGGCCTGCAAACCAAGTGGTCGCTGGTTTGATTTCCAGTCAGGGCACATGCCAGGGTTTCAGGCCAGGTCCCTGATGGGGGATGTGTGAGGGGCAACCACACATTGATGTTTCTCTCCTCTCTTTCTCCCTGCATCCCCCTCTCTAAAAATAAATAAAGAAAATCTTTAAAAACAAAAAGAACTTACAAGTCTGACTTACTTTTGGTTCCTTATGTTTCCCCAAAGCATAGCTTCCTCTGAAAAGCAGGATTCAAGATATTTCAGATGTAGTACAAAACAAACAAACAAACAAACAAACAAACAAAAAAACCTCTGAAAGGACATGGGTCACATGAAAACTGTTTTCAGGACAGGATCCTCAAAAATAATTTTGCAAATGAGGGACTCCCAAGTGCCCTGGACTTCGAGCTCTCCCTAGTGACTGTCATCATCTGAGTTTATAGTAAGCCCTATGTACAGAGAGATTAACTAATCTGTTCAAGTTCACACAGCTTGTAAGTGGCCTAGTCAGGCCCAGACCCATCCAATCACAAAGCCTAGGCTTTCCTCACAATGCCGTGCTCACACCAGACCTCTACTGGGTAAACACTTACAGAAGCCCAGGCTCGTACAGACTGCCAAGCTAACTGGCAACAGCGCAGGATCCTTCAGGATCTGGGCTTTTATTTCCCTCTAAACTTTGACTTAAAAACAACCACCACCAAAGAAATCTCACCAATGTGTGAATGAATGAATGCTCTTTTGAGTTATTCTAGAATCGAGGAAATCAAAGCCAGGAAGAACCATGAACATTAATTAGCAAGACCATTTTTAGTGGTCAGTGATGTTGCCAGGTGCTGGTTCTCCAGCCACAAGGTCCTTCCTTTCTAACATACCAATAAATGAGATTCACCTACTTTAGAGAGACAATTATACCCCCCAAATGACAGCAATATTAGAAACTTTTCCCTAATGTCCTATTTCCATTTTGATTTGAATGAATGATGTGTTGGCTCCCCACTCCCCGGTTCTATTTTTGTTTTCATTTCTTTTTGTCTATTTTCTGCTTATTTGGGCTGTAGTGGAGCAGTCGTATCTTGCTGGAGGTGCATCAGCTCCCTGCATTCCACAGTAAATGTCTCTCTTCATCCACCACTCTTAATTCTCTAAATCTCTGTGTGTGACAGCAATGAATCTCATCCCTTTAGTAATTCTCCTTCACTAGTTAAAAAACAATGGCTTCTAGGAAGACCTCAGTGTTTCTCAGGAGATCTTGGTGTGCCAAGAGTGAATTTAGGAGACAAATGTTATCATGAATTAATACTATTTGGTATTTACTGAGAACTTTTCCAGTTTCCCCCTCCTGCCAGACTTGCTCCTTGTGCTCCAGCTGTGCTAACCGTTTTCATCTCCAATGTGCCCTCTCACCTCAGGGCTTTGCTGAGGGTTTTCCTCTGCCTCCAGAGTCCTACTCCAGCCAGGACACCACATACATTAGTCCAGATTGTCCTCTCAAGGGCACCCAGCTGGGCAGAGAGAACTCAAATCTCACCCAGCTCTGCTCAGTAAACAATGGTCCAGCATGAAGGCTGCATCTACCCTAGGCCAGGAGTGTGTTTCCCTAATTTGCTAAAAGGCACCTTAGGGTTGGGGGAGCTGACACCCCTTTCTCCCAATTCACCCTTATTCTTTCTTCCTTTCTCTACTTGAATGCTACTGAAGGATTTTTCTGATTAGGTCAGGGCCCAGTGGAGTTCTGTGCAATTTTCCTTTCTAGTCCTTGGCCCGATTTGGAGATAGAAATCTGGTTACCTAATTAATGCCCAAATCCTCAACTGAACTGAAAGTGCCACAAGGACAGAGACAGGACTTCTGTTTGCTCCTCTTGGTAGTTTCAGCACTCAGGACAGTGCTTGGCACATCATGGGCACTCATTAAATATTTGTGACATGAGCCTCTGTGCCTGGCATAGTGTGCTAAGAACTTTCCACACAAGATTTCATTAAATCCTTTCAACATTAATAATGAGTTATTGTTATTCTTTGTTCAGAGTGAAGAAACTGAGGATAAGAAGAATGAAGAGACTTGTTCAAGGTGACTGATCATTTTTTGCCAATAATGCAAATTGGCCAGGAAGTAAAGAGAATGGCCCAAAGAGAAGAGGATAGCTCACAAGTTCACTAGTAGGGAATAATGGACCTCACAGCTTCAAGTGTCAAACAAAGGAATACCCAGTCACTTGCCTAGAAGGAAATGAGTGTGGGAAAGCCATAATCATAGAAAATACCCTCTTCATCACTCCTTACAGTAATAACTTGGCAGATATCCTCGTCCAAAGCTCCACAGAGACTGTCAGGACAGAACGAAGTGGAATTCGTTACTTGTATCTAGGGGACATTTGATGGTGCCTTCCCATTCAACTGCAATTTTTCTGCTTAAATATGTTTTCTCTCTTGATGTTATGAAATAATCAGAGTAATGGTATTCCTGTTTTAGAACAGCAGTAGGAAAGGAGAACTGCAAATTTGGGACCAACAGCCTGAGTGGGCTTTCACCAGTAATGAAACTCAATTGCCTTGCATCACAATGATATTTCCAAAGGTGAAATGAGATTTCTAATAGGCCATTAAGCAGTAGTATGAGGCCACCTTTAGTGACACCTCTGTTTTCATGGCTAACTAAGAGGCACTGTCTAGTTCTCAAACCAAGAGTAAGTATGATAAGCCAGTCTAAGTCAGACTAAATTAAAAGGAATTAATCTTCAGAGAATCATCCCTGGGAATTAGAAATTACTTCAGCAGGCCAGTTTGCAGGCAAAGAAGCCATGCCAGGCCCTTTTCTCTCTTTTAGAATCAGTGCAACTGGCTCCAGATCAAATAAAATGAGAGATTAAATAGAGGCAACCACTAATCATGGGGAATCAGAGAAGAAGAGAAGATGAGCATGTCAATCATAGGAGAAGGCAGCTGAGGTTCCTCAAGGGTTTAAATCAGATACCCCCAGAGTAGAAAGGTTTGTGTGTCTCAAAGGCCAAAACAGTACTGCTGAGTATTTTTCCAATAGGACTTGTTTTATTGGTAATGTTCATTTGTCACATTCCTCTTCTTTATCAAGTTAATTCATGTGAATTAAATATATCCGAATCTCAAGAATCAATGCTTTAATTCTGAGAGGGAACAAGAGTTAATTTTTCTGATATTGTGTGTATGTATAAACACACCACACCACACACACACACACACACACACACACACACACACACACACCTTTCCCCTTTTTTGGATGCTAAATGAAAGATCTGTAGGACCTAAGGAAGCTTATAAATATACAAAAGAGAATCTGAGAAGTTAGTCTTTTTTTTATTTTATTGATTCTAGAGAGAGGGGAAGGGAGGGAAAAGGAGAGAAACATCAATTGGTTGCTTCTTGCATGTGCCCTGTCTAGGGATTGAACCTGCAAAGCAGGCATATGCCTTGACTGGGAATCAAAATGGCAACCTTTCAGTTTGCAGGATGATGCCCAACCAACTGAGTAACACCATCCAGGGCTGAGAAGTTACTCTTTATTAACTTCTCCACCCAGTTCTAAGACAAGAGGTACCATTCAAAATGGCATTTAAGCAAAATAAGGCAGAAAGGAGAAAAGCTTGTTT